CGTTTGTATTTCGACTAATTGTCGCAGGTTCATTAGCCTAAACTACGTGTTATGCGATTATTGTGCGTAATATTTTCGACTAATAGTCTCAGGTTCATTTCGCCTAAAAAAGAATTTTCAAAAAAATTAAATTCTAAAAAAAATTTATTATGCAACCACTAGGCGAATAATACGGGACGTTTGTATTTCGCAGAATAGAAAATTTCAAAAAGAAATAAAAAAATAAATTTTTCTTCATTTATACTACACGAGTGTTTCGCAATGTGTGTCGCCGAATAGAAAATTTCCAAAAATAGTTTATTTTTCTTATTATGCACCAACTAGGCGAATAATATGCGAAGATTGTATTTCGCAGAATAAAAGATCGAATAGAAATCCCTACACTACTACTTTTACAGTCGCTTCAACCCCAGCCGATTACAAAGTTAAAAAAAAAAATGGAAGGACCATCCAAGCATAAAAAAAAGCTAGGACGAGGGAGCCGACGAGCTACTAGCCTACCACAGCACTCAAACGCCAGGAAGATGAGCTGTAGGTGGAGCTTGTTTGTGGAGTTCCATGTAGAACTCCAGCATGAGATCGGCCCCGACCACCACGCTCTGAACCGATGGGCTCTGCCGGGTTCCGGGAAGAGATCCCCGTCGACCAAACACCTTCCTCTGTCAGGAAAACCTGGCCTACCACAACCTAGAGAGGTTGAGGCCAGCATTGCCTCTGACAGAGGGCCGGGCCGTTACGCCCCGGCCGCCGACGCGCAACGTTCCGACCTTCAACCTTCTCACAGTTGATACGGCAATACCCGGGCCCGGAGGTTTGATCTTCATCGTTGCTGTCTCGGCATATATGTTTCCTGCCGGGGCAAAGTTAATAAAGTTAGATAGCGGAATTTATGCTCGTTGAGTTTTTTCCTCCGACGAATTTGAAAGGTTAGGAGTTCTCAATTCGGACACAGTAATGTTAAAGAATTGCCTCACGGTTCGAAAGAAAGAATTTTTGTAACTCTGGTTTATCTCCGGCGAACTGCTTCTCATATATAAGAAAATAGAAAAACGAAGGGCCATTAACAAAGAGTTCTGTGGGACAGATGGGTAGTAAGAGAAGTGGCATTATATGGATCGAAGATTACACGCTTTATATAGACGGATGAAACGATTCGCGTGCACGCTTTTACTGCCCAGGTGTTTTGAAAAGCGGATAAGACGCCTCGAAACCGGCCGTAACGTTCCAAATGCCAGCGATTTCTAAACCATTCAAAAATTTAAATTTTAAAAATAAACTTTCGATCGATGAAAGATGAAAGAAATAAAAAATAAACTTTCGAGTAGAAGCGCGAAGGGGGTATGCGAGCAATATGCGGAATTCGCATACCCCATCGTATAATAGAAATAACAGAAAGATGAAAGAAATAAAAAATAAACTTTCGAGTAGAAGTGCGAAGGTGGTATGCGAGTAATATGCGGCAATTCGCATACCCCATCGCATAACTGAAATAACTGAAAGATGAAAGAAATAAAAAAATAAATAAAAATACACTTTCGAGTAGAAGTGGGAAGGGGGTATGCTAGCAATATGCGGTAGTTCGCATACCGCCTCGCATAACTGAAAGATGAAAGAAATACGAAAAAAACTTATTATGCACTAATTCCGCGAATAATATGCGACGTTGGCATGTCGCAGTTATGTCGCAGAATAATTTTTTCGACTAATAGTCGCAGTTCATTCGCCTAACAAAAATAATTATTTAATGGGCGACGGACCGCGATTGACCGAATCGTACATCGAATCTCTGAATATTCATCGTAGAACAGTCGCATAATTTAACTCATAATTTTCTCGCCCATGCTCATACCTGTCGCCTATTTAGCGCATAGTTCATCGCATATGTCTTCGTACTTTTTGGGGTGAAAAACTTAGCTTTTTATTGGGTGGTGTGAAAAACTTAGTATGACTTCAGAACGGGGTGAAAATAGCTATTTCCTCTTTTTTTTAGGGAATTTTATATATCAAAATGTATAAATTTGCGAAAAAGTACAACTCTTACCTATAATACAACTAAAAGCTGATGAACTAAGAGGACATGTCAGAAGACTGCCTAAATCCGACACTAGCAACGATAGAAATCAAAACTCTTGACACGACAAGCAAACATAAACAATTAAAAAACTACTACAAAACTCATAATAGGAGAATAAATAGAAAAAGATCTCAAATGAATAATACCCGCTCACACTCGGAAACACAAGGGTCAACGACTCAAACAAAAAGCACGAGACCTAACAATACAAAACAAACAAACAACACACCTAAAACAAAATAGAAACACCTACACTAGAGCCCTCCTCCACAACAGGAAAAAGTTCCACACAACCCTACTACCGCAACCGAGAGCTCCCACCCAAAGGGAAAGCAGTCCGAGCCAAGCACCGAGACCTGAAACTGCCGAAAATGCCTAAAAAGATCTGATACTCAGCCACTGAAACTCTCCAAGGTAGTCACCCACGAACCAGTCAACGGAGGTAAGCCCTCACACACCACCCCTCCAACCGGTAGCACAAAGCCGACCGTCAACCAGAGCCATCAACCATCACCATCTACATAGCTCGACTCCCTACCACCGGAACACCCAAACACGCCCTCCACACCACCACTGTCCATCCTCGGCTAACACCACTAGCTAAATGACGGAACACCAGTCCCCCTCTGCCCCAACCTCAGAGCACAGAGGAGAAAAGGGCAAGAAGGCGTCACACCACGAGCAACCATCGCGAATACACAGTGAGCCGCCCGAGCATGCCCTGCCCCTGTACCACATCCCAATCAAATCCTCCGCAACTCGAGAAGCCGACGACTTGAGCCAAAAAACAACGTCTGAAACAAAGGCGAAACTCGATCATGGTGGTCAATCGCATTCAGAAGTGCAAAAGACACATGGGGCAAAGCAGCGAGGCAGAGTCTGAGCGGCCAAGAGGCGACACCACCGACCGCAACAACCTCGTTGCTACCGATGATGGTCAAACCCAATCAACAGGGTCAACTTACCAACACCAGGTAAGCAAGACAAAAGGGGGGAAAGGGAACCTACCTCTACTCCAACCTCCGCCTGCGCGGAAGTCGAAATACGCCGCCCAACCCCAACATCATTAATCAAAAAACCTTGCATCTTCAAAGGTCCGTCGGAACGCAGAAGTTCGACAAAGCACGACCGCAACATCCCAACCAAAATGAGGGGCCGGGGGCCCTGACTTGCGGCAACCGCGATGCGGCCGTGCGAAAGTGTGAAAAACGACGATGAGAAAGGGGATTAAGGTTGGGCAAAAAAGAAAAAAATGTTGGGATCAAGGAATGCACATTTTAGTTAAATACCCTCTATTTCCCAATTTATGATTATTATACAGTGTAATTGTAGGGCTGGGAATGAGACTAGGAGAATTATGAACCGTTCCAAAAACTGAACCAAAATTACTTAGAAAATAATTGTTACCGTTTCACATTCTCCGAACCAAACTGGACCGGATAAATAATTGGTACGATTCTGGAAAATTTACAAATATCTGTACCGATAACCAAACCTAACTGTCCCATACCGTACCGAACCGAAGAACCGTATTATAAAAAGAATAGAGTTTTGGAAGAATTTGATAAGAATTATACAACTATTTGCACGGTAAGTATATCACCTTTTGGTACGAAAAAAAAAGCGTCAGTCTTATGATATTCATATTTTTGAAATGAATTGAAATTAGTTTTGTGTATTATAAATTGGAAAGAAAAATTTGGCCAATCTCACATTTTGTTATAAAAAAATGGGATTCCTATAGCATTCATATTTTTTAAATAATTTGAAATTAGTTTTATTTCATAAAAAAATTAAACAAGGAAATTCGGCCAATTAAAAACTTTTGTTACCAAAAAAAGGGAAAAATAAAAATGATATGAATAAGTTTTATGAATTTTAAATTAATTTTTATTTGGTTTTGAATTTATAAATAATCGATACATTTTTTGCATAAGAATCTCCAAATTGGTAAAGAAAATAAAAAAAAAGGAATTCCAAGGGTTTCATATTTAAGAAAATCGGCCAAATTTGTACTTTTTTCCTAAACTAGTGCGGTACCCGTGCGATGCACGGGCTAGTTTTATTATGGTAAGCATTTAGATTAGATGAATGAAAAAACGTAAAACGCATATATTAGAATAAAACAAAATGTAACTTAAATATTAAAAAACACATTCTTGTATACAACATTATTTGTTTGCCCTTTTGTTGAATCGCCTACTGCCACAAATTAAAATTTTCAAACACTTAAGATTCGTAGCGTGTGAAACATGCATAAAGCTGGCCGTGAAGGTTACATATATTAGGATTCTAGACATGTTTAAATAAATCAATTAAATTATTTAGCAGGATATATCTTATATGATTTATACTTGTTTTATGAAGATTGCATAGCAACATATAACGGATAACGTAAAACGTCTTTCTTGATAATCTATAGTTAATTCGATTTTATATTGCCAAAAAAAACAAAAATATATTAATAATAGTAGTTTAATAGAAAATTCATTTATATGAGAATATGTGATTGTATTTTTTCTAATTGAAAATTTTCATTCAGCCAGATTTTTCGAATAAAAAATGAGAAAGGATTTTAATTTTTAGAAAATCGTAAACACTACTGAAATGTTCCAAAATTAAATCTACAATACCCATCATTTTAGGGTGCATTTAAGGTTAATCGATTTTTGGGGTTAATAAATTAAGAAATTAAAAAAACTACCGGCATGCAATAAATGTGGGCCGATTTTATGGCAACTCAATGATAAGGGATTTAAAAATTAAAATTTTATATTCGAAATGAAACCTAATTATTTTCAATTAGATTT